CCAAGGAATCAAAGTTCCTCTCCCGGTGGGTTGCAACTCAACTCATGATTTCATACCTGAGTTCATTCTCAAATCTCAAGCACAAATCCAACTCAATGTCAACCATTCCAGTAGCATAATGGTTCAATCTGATAAATTCAATATCATAATTCATAACATATATACCACCTTGCTCCAAATTCTGAAACTCCTGGTGTCGCTCCTACATGTATCTCTCTCCTATTAAGCGACTCCAAAAACGTGCCTTGAACATACGAAAGACAACTATATTAATGGCATCCTCATCCAAATTAGTGTCATCATCCTCATTGACGGGAGGGTTCTCTCGCATGTGTAACCGGATCATCACTAGAAATAGATGGACATACATGCAGAACAAGAGGATCTCGAGGTGACATTGGATCATCTATCATAACAGAAGGTCAAACCGCTTGCCCTCGACCACAACCACGACCTGGCCTACGACCTCTAACAGCACTCATCGGATAAATCTACAAGGCTCTACAGAAAGAATTTGAACCTAAGTTAGAATAGTATCAAGAATCTCGATTATATTTAAAACTCACAAAATAAGGTGACAAGGTTTTTGAAAATATCTAAAATATCTTGAAAATCTAGATTTTATGACTTATCCACAGTCCGAGTGTTTAAAAATGAAGACTCTAATACTATCAAGTATAACCCCCTAGACCCAGCCTAGACGTTATAACCAAATCTAGGCGGTTATATATCATATTCAGAAATTCTTTTCATATTTAAAATATCGTTAAAATCCATATAGTAGTATAATATGAAATTAGTCTTAAGAAATATTCATATGATATATATATATATCATAAAACCATATAAAATATATTCATAACAAAATATTGGTAATACAGATATACCAAGACAGTAGCAAAAACCTGTGTCACCAAAGTATAACTAAAGGTATATAGAGATATACAATGGTACAAAAATAGGAGTAGTCGGTCATCCTGATGCTAAGTCTGCTAATCTACAGTTTGTTACTATCTGAAAAGGTTAAAATTTACATAATTAGCTAAAAAGATCAATGTGCTCTTTGCGGTGTATAAAAACATACATATAAAATACTTCAGTAAAAAAATAGTTCATCAAACATGTTTTAAAAATATGAACAATACCCCCATTCGATCACCAGAACCATACACCCACATGTACACCCGGTAAGGGCCTTATACATATAGCATAAAGACATGCGGTAAGGACTTACCATGTGCACAAAGCAGAGGAGCCTACGGTAATGTCTTGCAAGTCATATACTATTCCTGATATACTTCCTCCAATAATACCCCAATGACAGTAATAAACATGTATGTATTCGAGTGAAAATGGTAGTTTAATCTATTAAAACATGAAAATATTTTATACTCAGAAATCAGTTATAGAAATATAGTAACCAGATATCATATCAGAAATATATAATAAATCAAATATCAGATAAACACTATTCAGAAAATCATGTATCATATCGTAAAAATATTTAGTATCATTAGAAATCTAAAACAGTTTAGATAAATAATTTAAAATAGTAATGTAACACCATTAGATACACACCTGTACCGATCTGAGTAGTTTGATAGGGAAGCTTACTACTGAGTATGTCGATCATGATCAGTGGCAATGCTAGATCCTACGAATCAGAAAATCTATATCATAATCCTAATATGAATAATAATAATATTTATTTATACAGTTTACGAAAACCTACGAGTAACTCTCGAAGGACGCAAATCGTGCAGATCTGAGAGATGGGAAGCACTGAATCTAAACGACCCTCAGTCGGGGAAGACACAAGTACCTTCATAAAAATATATACTCGAATCAATTTCATAATCAAATCTCAAATAAATAAGCAAAAATGTTAAAAATACTAAGCATTTTCGGATTAAGTAGCTCAATTTAAGGCTTTTGGGTTAGAATTTGGCAAAATGGATCACAAAATCGGACTCTGGACGACAAAAAACGTTAAGATGTAGGTTTTCAGAAAAGTCAATGACGGTCAATGATCAACCGATTCGATTCGGGTTGGACCGGGTCGAGTCGGATTGTGTCAGACAAACGGGTCGGGTTGGGTAGCTTCTAGAAGCCCACCAGGAGGTGAACCTTCCACACGCGCAACGGCGGCGCGTACGGGACCTTTGAGGGTCGAAAAAATAGCGAAAAAAATCCTATATGCTTTTTAAGTGGTTTTTAGACACTTACCAAGCTTTGTTCACAACGTTAAACGACGGAGAGCTTGATTTCACAACGTCGAAAACTTGATCTTCCTTACCCCCTAACATATCTATGGCAACGAAGACAAGATGGACATCGGTGGACTCGAAACGATGCAAAGAACACAATGGTGCGGAAGGTGTCGAAAATGGAACAACGATCGACTATGAAATGTCGATTAAAGATTTCCTACTAAAAGAGGAAAGATTGAGAGAGAGAGAGAAAATAAGGTTTCTAAATAAGGAAACTGTCCAAATTTGGGGTTATATATAAAAAGAAAATGTTAAAATTATGTCATAGGTCCTCTATTTTTTATACTTTCTGAATTTGGATCCGAATTCAATTAAAATTTTACTTTGATCCCTGAATTTAATTAAAATTTTAATTTAATCCTCGAAATAAATTTTAAGAAAAATTTTTACCCTAATTTGGGGTGTGACATTCATAGATGTTCACAATAATAAAAAATAAGTCATGATTGAGTTGTGATAATATCATTTTGTCAACGAGACTTTATTATAATATACATTTTTATGTTAATGTTGATAAAATTTATCTTTTTTGGTCGGTAATGATGTTTGTTTGTATATATCATTTGTTTAAGTTATTTAATTAAGTTTCAAATATATTTTATATGGTCTTTTTTTATTCTCAGGCGACTAATTTATGTATTTAGATGATTTTAGAAAAATATATTATTTCTATAATTAATTTATTCTTACTTATTATAATTTATAATTAGGAGATTGTTGTTTCAAGCGAAACAAATTAGAATAAAACAATGTATTTTGGGCATTTTAGGATCACATGAATTGTCTAACTCCAATGCTTGCTGCCATCTGTTTGATTGTTTTAATTAACAGTGCTCACGAATTGTTTATACGTAATTAAGCTTTGTTTTACCCTGTTAACTTGTTGTAATGACTTCCATCATAAATGGTAAACGTAAAAAAGAGAGAGTAAACCACTGTTCAAGTACATTACCTTCTCATCAATATATACAAAAGAACATCAAACTTCAAAGTTTAAGGCGAAAATGGAAGACCTAAGAGCACATAGAGCTAAAATAACTAATTGTCAAGCTCTCCAGTGAAGCTAAATATAGGGCCATATTAGTTTGACTACTTAGCGGTTCTATCTTATGTATCCTATTCATAGTATATTGTTAAAATGGAGGTGTTCAATATTTACCGTAGATAATTGTCATATTGATTCAAACATGGAAGAGTTTCAGCTTGAGGTGAAAAGCTACTCAGCATAGCCGGTTCGTCTCCGCCGTTTCTATATGTACTGCCTTGTTTTCGCTACTTCATTTCTATATTTTTCTTCAGTTTTGGTAGCCTTGACTTCAGATTCTGTTGGCTTTGATGTATCTTCTGTAATGTTATCGACGTCTGGAATTCTATCAATGGCCTTGAGATCACCTTCCCTTGATTTTGATGCATCGTTGATGCCTTCTTGACGAGACATATTTTGCATCTCTTGACCATTTTTAATGTTATTCAAGCTGTTAGTTTCTCCTGCTGAAGTTGATAAGCCAGAATTGGCTTCAGCTTCGGCTAATCTTTTGGATTCGTGTTCAATATCTTCAACAAAACCTTCACTAGTTTTCCTACTGGTATTTGATGGTTCAATGACAGCCTCTAGTTTACCTAATACCCGGAGTGCATCTTCACGTTCAATAACTTCGGTCTTGATCTCTTTGTTGGTTACATTATCAGCTACTGACTCATTATCCTTGAAAATATTATCAACTTCAACTGCAGAATTCTGCGAAAGGTTCTAGTTCAATGTCAATAAAGGATGGATCTGTAACATAACTTGCTGGCCATTGGATGCGGCTAAATAACATGTTTGAGTTTAGATACACACACACACACACATAAGATATTTAGTTCCGAGTCTTGACACACACATACATGCATAAGATATTGAGTTCTATGTCTTGACACACACACACACATACATAAGATATTTAGTTCCGAGTCTTGAGTAATACAGATTAAGCATTAAAGAAACAGAGATTCAGTGAAGGAGCAAATATGATAACATCTTATTTCCTTTTGTCTCTTTGTCTTCTCAAAAACCGGGTTTAATTAGAAATATGAGTGCTTTACTTTATACTAATTGCATTACCTTTCTTTGCTTTGTTGTTTCAACAATGCGTGTATAACCATTTGCTTCTGGTTTGTTGACATCAGCTTCCAGCTCATTTAATTCTTCAGGTCCTCCAATGCCCTCCTTACTGATTGAGAAATGAGATACACCTTTATTAGTTGTCAACTTCTCCCCTTCTTTATCATTGACTGCTAAATCATTGAAACCCGTGACAATGCTGCCTTCCTTAGTGACCTTCCTTCGAGAATTTGTGGGTTCCTGTGCAATTTAACAAGCAATGTGATTAGTACTTCACCAGTTTACAGCATAGCTTGTCGATTTAGAATTTTCATTTGTAAAAAAGAGAGGATGTGGTTGGGATATTTCATGAATCAGAAATATAAACAAGAAACAAGAAGTCAATAACCTAAGTTAGAAATTACTGCTAAATCAAAAACTGAAAAGATTTTATTTTGTTGTTGTAATTCAGTGCCAACTGAGGTATACAATAAGAATGGGAATCTTTTGCAAAATTAAGCATGGGGATTGCCTCTTCTCTTACCATAGTCTCAGTATCATCTGATTTAGCATTATCCTTTTCTGATTTTGATGGATCAATTTCGGTGTCATTTTCCTTTGTAATGCTTTCAACATTTAGGATGCTTTCAGTGACCTTGAGATCATCCTCTCCTGATTCTGATGCATCCATAACACCTTGACCAGTCAAAATTTGAATCTTTTCATCATTCTTAATGTTATTCAAAGTATTAGTTTCTCCTGCTGAAGTTGATTGGCCAGCATTGAATGCAGTTTTGGCTAATCTCTTGGATTCGGGCTCAGTATCTTCAACAGACCCTGCACTAGTTTCCCCGGTGGTATTTGATGCTTCAATGACAGCCTCTAGTTTACCTAATATTTGTAGTGCACCTTCACGTTCAAGAACATTGTTCTTTATCTCTTTGTTGGCTACATTATCAGCTACTGACTCATTAGATTTGCAAATACGATCAACTTCAGCAGCAGAATTCTGTGGAAGGTTCCAGCTCAATGTCAGAAAAGGATGGATTGGTAAGAAAACTTGCTGAACATTAAGTATAGCTCAATAACATGTTTGAGACTATTGTAAATGCAGTAGGTAGGTAAACTTTTCTAAACCTCCAAACATATGCATAAAAATTTAAGCATGCATACTTGTATCTGTCACTTAATTTTATCTCCAAGTAACATAGATTAGAAGTATTAATGATGAAACAGCTCTCCAACAAAGGAACAAATATGAGAATATCTAATCCTCATTCTTTATTTGGTCATTCAGAGAAAAAAATAAGCTATTTAGTAGTTCCGTCTTCTAAGATCCCGAGATTATGTAAAAACATGAATGTTTTACTTTATACTAATGTATTACCTCTCGTTCTTTTGCACTTTCAACAATGCTTGTATAATCACTTCCAATTGTTTCTGTTTCGTTCATATCAGCTTCTTGTTCATTTGATTTTTCAGGCCCGCTGATGTCTTCCGGTCTGATTAAGAATAGGGATTCGCCTTCATTAGCTGTCTCTCTTTCTTTTTCACTTTCAACAACTCTTGTACAATCGCTTTCAATTGTTTCTGTTTTGTTCATATCAGCTTCTTGTTCATTTGATTTTCCAAACCTGCTGATGCCTTCCGGTCTGATTAAGAATAGGGATTCACCATTACCTGTCAACTTCTTCCCTTCTTCCTTCCCAGTGCCTGCTGAATTATTGACATTTAAGACAATGTTGCCTTCCTCGATGACCTTCCTTGGAGCCATCTACAGTTTAACAAGGAACGCAGTTACTACATCAATTATATAGCCTAGCTAGTTGATGTAAAATTTTCATTTGTTACATGTTCCCCATTCAAATGAACTTGTTTCTAAATTTGAGTTCATGTTCCTCTAACATTTCACGTGATTTCAAGATCTGTTAAAAAGTAATAAAAGATTGAAGATGAAATGTTGACACTTTCATACGGACCTCCAATGTTCCAAGACTGCGGTTACGGGTTAATTGATTTATTGAATTCTCAACCCATTCATGAGCAATGTGAGGCATGTAGGCAGTTAATTTTTCACGTGCTTGTTCATATGCTAGTTTGCTTCTCACAACATCTTGCCTAACAAAGTGTGACAGACTTCGTTGCATTCGTCGCCCAACTCCTGATACAGGAGTTGGGCTTGGCAGGATATTTTGTGGTAATACAGACCTTGGAGATAAAAATGAGCTGACAGAAACTTGTTCAAGCATCAATCTTCGATTTAGAGCCCTTGCAATAGAATCACGTAATCTTTTTTCCAATATATTATTCTCTGCAGCATCTTTATCAACTTTAGTATCTGGAACAGATTTTAAGTTGTCACTGCTTTGAACTCTGTTTGGTGCATCTCTAGTGTTAAGCTCAGTTAAGGTTTGAGTATCTTCTTCAATATACTTTGAAGGTTGGCTTTCCTCTACTTGATCCACTATAATTTCTGGAACAGATTCTAAGTTGTCTCTTCTTTGAACTGCATTTGGTGCATCTATAGTTTTATGCTCGTTTAGGGTTCGAGTATGTTCTTCAATATACTTTGAAGGCTTGCTTTCCTCTACTTCCTTTCCAGATTCTATGGTACTTTTAACCTCATATGATGTTTCAAAATTATCATGACTGCAGTTGCTGGAACCTGGATGAGCTTCATAGTTTATATATATTGGAAGAGATGCACCATTCTCGGTTATATCTATTCTCGCAGATAGTGAACTTGTGCTATTCATATTTTGCTTGGCTTCATGTTCTGATGGAGAGATTGAAGCAACTTCAACAGATTCATCTTCAATAATATCACCTAATTCTCTTAGTCTTTTTCGATTCGCCTCTTCTCTTGCTAGCTTAGATGAACCTCCCCACAGTTCTTCAATTTCGGAATTGATATCCCTGTCAACATCCCCATCATATGTAACTAAATCACCATCAACAGATGAAACTGTTCCATCAATTGTTAATGGGGGTGAACCAACTTCTGGGACTTCAACTTGCAAATCAGAAGCTATGGAAAAGGTTGGGGGATGGCACTGTCGCCTACTGTAAAATGAATTAAAGTCTGACCTGCGCCTTTCAGATGGCGATGAGCTGGAATCAAAGGAAAGTCTGTTCATAGCTCCGCCCTTAGGAGGAATTGCAAGTTTAAGGGCCCTTCGAACATGATCATTATGTATCCCGGTAGAATTAATTGTTTGATCCAAGACCGGTTCTGTGTTTTCAGATGAAGATGAGTAGCAGGAATCGTTGTTTTTTATTGAACCTGTCTCCATTCTAACTTCACTTCCACTATCTAATCCTGGCTCCAGGTCATGAGGATTTTCCATCTTCTCTCCTATTTCAGTCCTATTGTTTAGGCTTTCTAAAATCCTTTCCTTTTCCTCTTCCAATAAGTTTACCGCCTTGTTGTGGTTCGGTTCTTCTAGCTCGACAAGAACAAAATCATTTTCTATACCAGAGGAATTAAGCCGGTGGTGACCTACTTTGTCTGATGGAAAAGGTAAAATGTTAAATCTTTCCATTAGATAACAGCAGACATAAAAAATGAAGAAAAAAAATAACAAAACTTCTATATCAAATTTGGAGTAATTCCATTGATTAAATAACTAAATACTCAAAGGCTATGGAGTTCAATTGCACGATCAAATTATTGTCTTGATTCTCTTGAATATGTTTAATTTTATTCCCCTTATGTCTAAAAACATTTTCTTGTGTATTTTTTTTCTTACACAGTTTTAGGCAGGGCCTTGAGGAAACTCTTTCTGCTATTTACAAAAGGCTTCCACAGAATAATGGCTTAAATCATTTGATTATGCACCTCAAAGCTTTGAAACAATGTCATAAGAAAGTATGAATAGAAAAGCCTTTCTACAGCCTAAATTAACAGGAAAAGATATAACAGGGATCTCAAAAATGGGAAATATATTGAATTTTATCTTGAGCTTACCCGACTTGGTTTCAACGTGCCTTTTTTCGTCACCATAAAACAGGTTAAATTCGGTATCATTTCGATTTTGACTGGTTGGATATGGAAACCAAGGTCCGCGACGGAAGCTTTCGTGCCTGCAGAAGAACATTTCCTTTTGGTTGACAGGCATGAATTCTTGTTGAAAACTATCTGCCATAAGGTTTGGTTTTTCATCTTGTAGATCATACGAAAGGTCAAACGAATTCCGTTTTCGCCACAAGGAAGGGGCTGAACCAGGCATCATTAATTCATCTTCATCAAGATTACTTGGAACCCCACCATTATTGTTTTTAGGAATTAAAATCTGAGCAAGTTGACTAGGAGGAACCTTGTGGATGCCCTTCAAGCTTTTCTCAATAGCCATTCTAAACAACTTTTTTGTTCTACGTTTTGCAATAAAACTATGCAGCCTTTTGTTTCTTTCTAACCCAAGATCCATACGATTCCTATGAACATCCCGTGTAGCCTTTTTACCGGCTCCACCGGATTCTTCCAATCTTTTTAATACTAGCTTACCATCACCAGGACCTGTTCCTAACGACCCTTTAAAGCTATCATCCGATACCCTATGAGGTTTCGATGTCTCGTTAATGAAGACCGTATTCGGAACATCAAGTGCTCGATCAGTTCCAGTCTCATTAGTTTTACCAGACAGACTATAATGCGTACATCTCACAAAAGGCACGTTTTTTTTCTCACTATGTTTTCCATCCCATTCTACGACCTCCTTTCGAGCATTTTGTCGAACACTTATCTGGGGTCGTAATGAAGGCTCATTTGATTTATTTACAAGTTTGCCATCTGCAGATAAACTTTCACCACTTTCGTTTTTCTTTATCCTTTGAGATCCAGGATGTCTGGTTTTCAAATAAAATCGAATATAAATAGCAGAGCAGACAACAATAGGGAAAGAGTACATAAAATAGGAGAAAAAATAAGGGGAAAATATGTACAAAAAGAGAACAAATATAAAAATCCCTGAAACATCTGGAAATCTTCTTACAAATTTATAGCAACAACTTCCAGAAAATCTAATAATTCTCCAGATGAAAAGTTGAATGCCCTTTGCAGTAACACTCATTTTTCTTAAAAAAAATAATTAACCTTCAGCAACAAAACAAAAGAAACAACCAAATTGGGTCTTAATAAACTCTTAATAATCCATTATATCGATTCGATGACAAGGAAATGACCAAAGAATTCAAATTCAAACATAATGAAAAAAAACTTTTTTTCACAAAAAGTACATAAACATGTAAAATAGAGGTCATGTGATGGTTTCGGATATGGGGCTTTCAATCTTTTTTAGAAAATTTCTTTTTGGTGGATAGTTTATGGTTAGATCCTTCAAATTAGGGCTATTCTCTGCCATTTCTTTTTCTCTTGCTTCCCTTGATTCATGGGAGCAAAATATTAGAAAACAGGTAAATGAAGAAGTGACGGTTAACATTGTAAGTCTGCTTTAGTCATATGACCCTTGAATTTCAACAATGATGCATTTTCACCACCATAGTTCCAAAACTCTCCACAAAGACTCGTTAAGCAACGGTTAAACTGAATCATGGGCTTTGTTAATTTGTTCTTGCGCAATTAGGTTTTTCAGTTAGAGTAAGCCTTATGCCGTTGCTCGCAAGCAATAAAGATCATTTCAAAATAGCTTATACTTATTATTTGTCATTTCTAATAAATTAAAATATAGTGCGTTCTTTTTTATATTATTATTTTTCATGCAAACACATCATCTTATATCATCTGTTGTATTTTCCTATAGTTTCTTTTATTCTCTGTTCTTTTAGTGACTTAACATTAATTATGTGAGCAATCTCGTGAAATTCAATTTTGAGTAGTTCATTGATTCTCCCTTCAAGTTGCAAAGCAAGATAAATTTAAGATTGGTGAAAACGAATAAATATAAAGCATAATCTTGTTGAATGACAGTTTGTTAAGTTTGTTATTCCGTAACAATTATATCATCTCGAATGAAGAGTTGTTTAATATTTTATATTTAAGATTGTAGATTTACTTCTTGATTAGTGATAGTTATAAAAACATATTTATCATCTAAAATGATAATAAAAATTGAGTTAGAATTTATTTTTTTCTCAAAAACAATGTCTCTAATCTTATTTATCCCTCCCAACTTAACATTCTAAAAAAAATGTAGTTATTGACTAATTTTTTTTTTCTAAACATGAAATCATAAAAGTTATAACCCTTTGATCACTCAGAATAACCAATAAAATAATCACTTATTATTTTAGAGTCCAATATCTTATTGTCTTAACTTGTTATAAAAGAAATAATTTTTTTGTAACTGTTGATTCTTTTGAACTAAAACCCTAATAGTTCCATAATTATATTTTCTTTTATTGCCAATATCTTTAGAGGAATTTGTCAAATGAATACATTTAGACTTGTTATGCTTCAATCTTTCTTTATTTTTTTTCACACAATAAGAAATAAGCTTATTTAGCTTCCATTTCTCCTTTTAAAAGTTGTAAGTAATTTTGAAATGGTTAAAATAGGCCAATGATACTAAAATCACAAATATTGTTGAAGGTGTTACTTATAATTCTTAGCTCATTTAAAATAGTCAATAAAATAATTACTCATTATTTATTATAACATATATTTTTTGGTAATTTTATTTCTGTTGAAGATTATTTTGAGTGTTATTTGAAAACGGATATAAGATGAGATGGAAGGAAAATGTATAAAAAAAAATAGTGGGTTGGGACGAACAATATCCCGCCCGTCCAGTTGCTATTCCTATAAACCCAGAAATGAGGAAAAGACAATGTCATGGTATAACAGCCCAAATCAAAGCGTAAAAAAATCCCAAGGTAAGGCCCTAACTTAGCCAAGCGTGTGGTTACCAATCAGCACTAAACATGTGGTCACCGCTCAATCTTAGTCACAGTCCAACCCACTCATTACATGTGTTAAGTTCCACAAAACTCTATGTAATCTCTAAACACGAAATCTTTGCCCCTTTCTTCTTGATAGTCACGACACTGGAAACGTGACAGTTTTCCTTTTAATCCAACGACTCAAATTCTCCCAAGTATTCTCTTTCGCAATTGCTCTGTTATGATTCTCTATCTCTACGAATTTCTGCAGATAAAAAACGAGATTAAATCAATAAAAGGAACATGTAAATTAGCCTGTTTTTATTTTATTTTATTTTTTGAAAAATTTTAGGGCTCCCGCAATGTCCTCGATTGAATTTATACGACCGACGACGATAACAACCCACGGGAAATTCAGCACAAATTCTTACTCTAATCTTCTTTACCTATATGGATTAAACATCAACACCAATCGGTTTAGGGTTTTGCGACAAACACCGAACCGCTTCTTCTCCAATCCTATGACTTCCACCCTAAAGAACGCCGCCGTTGTGGGAAACCGCGAGAGGTTAAATCTTTACGGAAGAGGTAGATTAATGTTCAAAGAGAGCAAAATTTTGGCTAATTGTACAGATAACAGCGATTCGAAGTCGAGTTCCGGCGAGAAAAATGAAAGCGAAGGTGGGCAAAAAGTGAGGCAGAAACAGAACCCGACAAACTCGGGTGGTTCGACCAATCAGAGAGGAGAAAAGAGCGGAAGAAGCGGGCTTTGGTGGTCCAAAGGGAAGAAATGGCAGTGGCAACCGATAGTTCAAGCTCAAGAAATTGGCGTTTTGCTTTTACAGTTGGGTATTGTTATGTTGGTTATGCGATTGCTCCGCCCCGGGATTCCGTTACCTGGCTCCGAGCCTAGGACTCCAACGACCTTTGTCAGTGTTCCTTACAGTGAGTTTTTGAATAAGATCACCGCTAATCAAGTCCAAAAGGTGGAGGTTGATGGGGTTCATATAATGTTCAAATTGAAGAATGAAGTGAGTGTTCAAGAGAGTGATATTGGTAAGTTTCAAGAGTCGGAATCTTTGTTGAGGAGTGTAGCGCCTACGAGGAGAATTGTATATACAACAACTCGGCCTAGTGATATTAAGACTCCATATGAGAAGATGCTGGAAAATGATGTGGAGTTTGGTTCTCCTGATAAACGATCTGGTGGCTTCTTGAACTCTGCATTGGTAGGTTGTAGTGTTATTTTGTACGTTGATATGATTTGAGTGAAACTAGTTTAATTACTTTTTTGAAGCTTTTTTTAGTATTCTTAAATGTGTTATTGGTAACTTGTTTGAATTGTCTTGGTTATGTTAGTGTAATAGTTTTTTGTGGTAAGCTGCCTTCTCGTAGTATGTAACTTAGAATATGAGAATATATTCTCTTGCTTTCTTTGGATTAGGAATCTTAATGAATGATCTGATGGGCCCTCTATTATAGGGGATCTATTTCCTTTTGAAGTGACAGGAATGTAAAGGTTGTAGTTGGTGGGACTGAGATTGGTTACAATTTGGGATAAGAATATCTTCAGTTACTCCCGTTCACTTGGTTCTTTTTATGTGATGTTTTCGTATACATCTTTGGTGGGATTTTATCCATTTGACTTCCTCTCTTTTGCAGATAGCTTTGTTCTATGTTGCTGTTCTTGCTGGACTTCTACATCGATTCCCTGTGAATTTTTCTCAGGTTTGGATTTGCTTGTATGTTCTTCGAGTGCTAAGATGTCTATGTTGAGAGAAATTATTTTATGGACTCGTCCCACCATGTCCCTACCAATGAAAACCACCCACTTCACCTTTTTTTACCTGTCATCAATCCACTTAAATTTAACTTCCAAGTAACCACCCATAACAATGTTGACCTGGAGAAAAAAGTGAAGATTATGATGACATGGAGGAAAAGGGTGAAGTGGGTGATTTTCATTGGTAGGGACCATGGATGACATGGTGGGAAGGAGTCATAAAATAATTTTTCCTGTGTGGCATTTATGCGTTCTGATCTGAATCATGCATGTATGCAGCATACAGCTGGTCAAATTCGGAATCGCAAGTCGAGAGGTTCTGGGGGTTCAAAAGTTTCTGAACAAGGGGAAACAATAACTTTTGCTGATGTGGCTGGTGTTGATGAGGCCAAGGAGGAGCTTGAAGAAATTGTGGTATGTTAAATATCATCTACTTAGTTTGCTTCCTGCAATTGATGTTTATAGTACATGCTTCGCTAAACTATATTATCGTCTTAATGTGTTTATGTTTACTGCCCAGGAATTTCTTAGGAATCCAGACAGGTATATACGGCTTGGTGCTCGTCCTCCCCGAGGAGTTTTGCTGGTGAGTTGATAAACATTGTGGCTTTTCTGAAAAAGATTAGGTGAAACTTTATGTCATGCTGTTGAAGAAGCTTTGGGTCTAAGAAGCCACTGGCTAATGGCTATGTGAAAATTGTTGCATTAAGTTTGCTGCTTCCGTCTCTTGCTCTTAGAGTATCTTTCACCTAAAGTTTTTGGTCCTCTAAAGTTTTCTGCTTGTCATTGTTTTCAAGGTAAGTTCACAAGTTTTTCAGATGGAATTCAATGTGCGCACCGTTTCCACTCAGTGCTTAGATGCTAGTATTATATGATGGTTTCCTGATATCATTAGCTCATTTCAAAGATTGAAATATGGTTGTTATCTATGGTTTTATTTGTGATGCAGGTGGGTCTTCCTGGGACAGGTAAGACTCTTCTAGCAAAAGCTGTGGCCGGTGAAGCAGAAGTTCCATTCATAAGTTGTTCTGCAAGTGAGTTCGTAGAGTTGTATGTTGGCATGGGTGCATCTCGAGTTAGAGATCTCTTTGCACGAGCTAAGAAGGAGGCACCATCAATAATATTTATTGACGAGGTTAGCCTATGTTTTTATTATTTTGTTGGAATAGTCTGTTTAACTTCTTGATTTGCTGTAATTTTCTGACACCTTTCCTTGCGCACAGATAGATGCTGTGGCTAAAAGTCGCGATGGTAAATTTCGCATTGTTAGCAATGATGAACGGGAACAAACTTTGAACCAATTACTTACTGTAACTTTCCCTCCATCATAGTTTTTTTTTCTCATTTGGACCTGTGGTTCCCCTTCATAGCTAATATTTTGGAACTACATTTCAGGAGATGGATGGATTTGACAGCAATTCTGCTGTGATTGTTCTTGGAGCTACCAACCGTTCTGATGTCTTGGATCCTGCCCTTCGTCGACCAGGGAGATTTGATCGTGTTGTTATGGTTTGTATGATGTGCTATGTTTTAATTAACTCGCTGAATGTTGCAATTTGCCATATCAACCAGTTCTTGCTCAACCCTTATCGCATGGATGTTATGTCTGGTATGGTTTCAAGGTCGAGGCTCCTGACAGGATTGGAAGAGAAGCTATTATAAAAGTTCATGTTTCTAAGAAGGAACTTCCCCTTGGAGAGGATGTTGATCTTGGTGACATTGCCTCTATGACTACTGGTTTTACTGGGTATTTCTTTCTACTTTGTCATATTTAAATACTACTGCTTCCCACTCTCCTCCTTCAGCTTCTTTCTTCTTAAATACTTACTTTTTGATGAAGTGGGAATAACTATATGATCTTTTTAATTTTGCAGGGCTGACCTTGCAAATCTGGTAAATGAAGCAGCCTTGCTTGCTGGAAGAAATAATAAAGTTGTTGTAGAGAGAGATGATTTCATTCGGGCAGTAGAACGATCAATAGCTGTAACTCTCTCTCTCTCTTTGAGCAAAATTTTGTTTGTGTATTTTTTACAATTTTCTTGTTGCGATTTGTGACACATCATTTTACATCCATTCTGTTCAACTGTTTCCTTCACCCATGTGTTTGAAGAATTTATATCACATTTTTCCTTGTCTTGAAGTTAAGTTTTAATGAGGGGAAAATGTTTTATGCAATGCTTTTATATTACCTTTTGCACTTTCTGATCAGACTCAGAGGGATAAAGGATTTTGACTAATCTACTGTTATTTACACCATTCCTCTTAGACATCTGTCTCACGGGATGTGTAATTATACTGAAGAATTGAGTGACAAAAAGATTTATATTTCCTAGGGCATAGAGAAGAAAACTGCCAAATTGAAGGGAAGTGAGAAGGCTGTGGTTGCAAGGCATGAAGCTGGCCATGCAGTAGTAGGTACAGCTGTTGCAAACCTTCTTGGTGGACAGCCACGTGTTGAGGTAAACTATGGCAATAATGAACTTAATGTTCTCATTTTCGCTCTTTATTATATCTTAGTCTGAAATTTGGAAACGATAAAGAAAATATGAAATTTGAATGGAATCTGAAGTTCCGAACCTGCATCCATGTAACATATGGTTTAGAAGACTGCATCAACTGTCTGTCATGTACTAGAGATGGTCACAGGTCAATCATATCTATTGTATCATTATTTATTAGGTGATAGGCTTGTTAGTTTTTGCCCTTCCTAAACGTGTGTTTCTCTTTTGTTACTTGGGAATTGGAAAGGTCTGGCAATACCTAGAGTAAAAAGGCTGACCAAATGTTCTCCAGGGTGGATCAACTTTGACCTCTGTTTATGAATGTCAAAAATGGAATGTCTAGCATTTGGTGCATTGAGTTCAATTTCAGTTAAGAAAGTTGGAACATGTTAAAAAACAAGGTTTCTTCTTCCAAACCCGTCCTGTTTTTTACGGGGTGGGAAATTGTAATGTTTGTACTTAATACCAACCTCAGAAACAGTTGTATACAATTTTCAAATCTTCATGCAACATTTTGTAAATAAAAAACTGATATTGGAGCATTAGGTTTCTTTACATGTTACATCAATTTCAATTCTTTTTGGGTACGTGTGGAGGTCCACTTGGTCTTGAGCTACAAAAAGAATTCAGAATTACAAAGTTCAACTTATGAAGGTTGGGTTTTTCAATAGAGACAATGTCATACAATGGACATAAATCATCCAATCTGCTTTTGTTAACGTTAAATGTGTGATATGATTACTAGTCAACTCTTTCTGTTTCTGCAGAAACTGAGCATACTGCCAAGATCTGGAGGAGCATTGGGTTTTACTTATATTCCTCCTACCAATGAGGATAGATATTTACTCTTCATTGACGAATTACGTGGTCGTTTGGTTACACTTCTTGGTGGACGTGCTGCAGAGGAAGTTATCTATTCAGGTCGTATTTCTACTGGTGCAGTTGATGATATTAGACGGGCGACAGACATGGCATACAAGGCAGTAGCTGAATATGGTCTTAATCAGACTATAGGCCCTCTCTCTTTAGCTACACTATCTGGTGGAGGCATGGATGAATCTGGGGGTGCAGTTCCTTGGGGAAGAGATCAGGTCAGTTTTTACTCTTTCATAAAAGTTTTTATTGTTTCTGTTTCCATTCCTACACCATCTGTAATGAAGATTGATCCAGAATGGAACATACAGGGACAGTTAGTTGATCTTGTCCAAAGAGAGGTGAAAGCATTATTACAGTCTGCCCATGAAGTAGCCATTTCTGTTGTACGTACTAATCCAACTGTTTTGGAAGGGCTTGGTGCCCACCTGGAAGGTATAATATGTTGTGGCTAACTGTTTTGTATGTCAAAATTCTTGGCCATCCTAATTGGTGATTCATCCTTTTTTGCTATAGGTTCTTGTTCATGTATGGATATTGCCGTATTTTTCTCAGCATAAAATCTAATTGAAACTTATAAGGGATGTAACCGGTGATGATTGCCAATTTTTATTAGGTTAAAGCATCCTACCATTGGTCATAATATTACCTTTCCTGATATCGTTTTCCTGTTTACGGAATAAATTGCAGAAAAGTTTAACTTTTACCTTTAAAAAAAGAAATATTGTCCCATTCCTGTGTTAACCAGCCCTGTCTTGCTGTATGATGAATATGTATTGCTTTTTTGACAATGTTCCCTGACGAACTCTTTGGTTGAACTTGTCTGATCTTTAATGCTATTATACCTTGGTTTGTTTTAATTATCTTAGTACAATGGGGTTCGTATCCTCCTGTTGTAACATCCACACTCTTTAAATAGTTTGAATCTAGTTTTCAGGTTGATACTCTGTATCTTTAAAAAGGTGAAAGGGCAATAAATTATTACGTTACTTCATGTTGTGGTCTAATGAATGCTTTGCTTTATTCAGAAAATGAGAAAGTAGAAGGTGAAGAACTACAAGAATGGTTGAATTTGGTTGTTGCACCTAAGGAACTAATCAACTTTGTTGAAGGCAAGCAAGAGTCTCTTCCGCCGGTTCAAGTGGTCTCCGGATAAGTGGATTTTTGTTCATTGCTTGTCAAGATTGAGCATTCACATCGAGTCAACTATAGTTTTCTTCACCATCTTGACAGCCTGATCTTGTTGATGAGCATGCCGTGGCTACTATAGGCATCAAACCTCCCTTGTGCATTTTTGCATGTCTCAGCAAGGTGAGTCTTGGTTGTATTTTTAACACTACCAAGTATTTTCTTTGTTTTATTCTCACTACACTTACCAGAGGAAACCTAGAGAAGTGGTGGAGGTGAAGATTTATTTCGTTAAAAGCCTTCTAACTTGTCTGACGTTCTCGACATTATGTCAACAAGTTTGGGCTGGTCTCCAACACCTGTTATGTTGTAAATTGACTGTTATTTCCGTTAAAAAGTCCAAAACTGGTGGAATTTATAACAGTAATCGAGTTGTACACAATTATTCTGTGAAATATAAGGTTAAAAAATGCTCGTCTTCAGAAGAACATTGTACCTAGAGTCTGCTACATAGACAATGAATGCTTGTTAATAATAGCCTATCAAGATTGAGCCTAGAAGCATTGTTTTTGGAGCATTGACATGATACCGTAAGTGTAATTTCCTATATCCGGGTTGGACCAAATCATTTTGAACATAATATGAATGACATTTGATATATCTGTATATATGAAGGTTTAATATGCGATTTGGACTGAAAAGCATAGTTATCAAATTAGAAAAAGTTGTAAAATTTAGGTACTAAATTGGATAATTAATATAGATACTAAATTAAAAATAGTGACAAGTTATAAAATCTTATGTGAGTACAGCTTTCGGCACAACATTTAGCCATCGGTTGGAGTGTCATTTTACCATCCAGCTCAGTTGGTAGAGCACAAGGTTCTTAATCTTGAGGTCGTGGGATCGAGTTCCACGGAAGACATTTCATAATTCGAAGGTCTCTTGCGGAAGCTGCTCTCAACCTGGTGTTGGTGGTAGCCTACTATCTTACCTCCCTCTTATCCCATATATATAGAAAAAAGGGACACCCATTTTTTGGAGTGTCATTTTAGGTCCCCACTGCCATGAGAGCTCAATATGTCCGTTGCCCATTTTTCGCACATAACCTTTGGACCGAAGGAATAAAACTTGTTCTTCTACTTTTACATATGTTGATTGAGATTTTGATTTTTTTTATTTTTTTGAGGCACAAAACAAAACACACTATTAGTAATCAACAGAGGGAGTGCGAGTACAGTTGGGTTTGTAATTTTCCTTTTGCATTTTACAAAGTATTTATTATGTGTTAATATTGTTTTAAACTTTTAGCCTTAATGCATAGGTTAAGAAATTTGAGCCCGTGTTTTTAACAATTTTTTTTATGATATAATAATATATTGGGAAAAATAATTATCGTACCAATATAGCTATGGTTGTCAAATCAGGTAATCGTTCAGGTTTTAGTTGGATATTGTCAGATCAAGTTAAATCGAATACATGTTGAGTCAGGTCAATTTAATAGTTCAACTTGGATTAGGTTGGGTCCAGGTTAAATCAGCATGTCATTTTCAGGTTGATTTGACATCAGATTCAGTTCGGGTTCAAGTCGAGTTAATTTTAGTTTTGATTGATGTCAGCTCAAGCCAAAACAGTTCAGGACCGAAGCAGTTAAATACAAGGTTAATTCATGTTCGGATGGACCTCGGTAGGATCTCACTCAAATCGGATCACATAATTGACAAACAAAATTCAGGTCGGATCTTATCGAATACAAATTGACTTCGGGTCGAGTCATTTTTGGGTTAATTATTTTTCGCCATTCAATGTTTCATGAATGTGAGAACGTTGAATTATAATTTGTAATTGTATATGACTTAGAATAAATTACAAAAAAAATATAAATAATTATGGGTCAATTTTGATAAAAATATAATTTGAAGTACTAAAATGAGCAAACATGAAATTAGAAACAAAAATTTAAATAAATTAAACAACATGCATGGTTGAGGGATCAAATTGAAATAATTATAAAATGTGAAGTTTAAATTAGTATAAAAATGGACTAAATTGCATACATTTAGAAAGTTGGTGAACAAAAGTTTATAGAACTTAAAATGAAACTTATTATGTGATTTATAGGGTTTGAAGTAAATTATAAAAATATAAATAAGAGTCAGTTTCAAGTACAAATATAATTTTAAGTACTAACTTGAACAAATATGAAATAACAAATTAAATTTTAAATAAATTAAACAACATAAAAGGATCAAATCAAAATAATTGTAAAATATGAGGAAAAAAGTATAAAATGTATTGAATTGCATTCAATTCAAAAGTTGAAGATAAATTGAAACAATTATAATATTTAGAATATGTATGATAAATGTTATGATAATATGATGCATGTATATATAATGTGTATATATATATATATATATATATATAAAGTATAAATTATACATACATGCACGCATGCATACATTATACATTAATAAATTATTTATACATTATGCATATATATCAATTCATACATTATACATTAATTAATTATACATACATTATATATTAATTATACATATATACATACATACATACATGCATGCATGCATGCATAACAATTCATACCAACATTATACATACATATCAATTCATACACATATTCACTGTTCAATCCATATATACCCCAGGGTGGACACGTGCCTATCCTGAAATCCGAATCGCTTTATGTTAATTATCCATTTTATCGAAGGTGTCCACCTTGAAATTTTATTTATATCCAGTCATAAGGAAAAAAATTCTTATTAATACATATGTACCCACCCTGAAAAATATTTCTCGATCCGCCACTACATATATCATACATACATTACACATTAATTAATTATATGCACATACATACATTTTAATAAATTATACACACATTATACATTAATTAATTATACGTACATACATACATTTTAATAAATTATACACACATTATACATATATATCAATTCATACATTATGCGTTAATTAATTATTCATACAATATGCATACACATATTATACATTAATAAGTTATACATATATTATACACGATATAGCTAACATTTTTAACAGTCGTAGCAGATCAAAAACCTAAAAAAGTAATATAAAAAACATTAGATACATATTTTAAATAAAAAATTAATTATATAAAATTAATAAATAATAAAATCTAAAAAATTATTTTTGCATTAAGCCTACTCAAAAACTTAAAAATAAAGGAGAGATTGGTTGGTGCCAAATCAGCCACCTCTAAATTCCTTCATTTTCACATTTCAAAATCTAAAATATAAATTATTCAAAAAACTCAAATCTCAAAATTTAGAAAAGTAGGATTAAAATCTAAAAAATTGAGCGTAGAATTGACCAAATGGCGTCAATTCCATGTTTTAAAAGCAAAAGACCACAGGACCCTCTTTATTTTACCCATTTTATTTTCACTCTGTTTTAAATTTTAAAGAATTATTTTTATTAATTTTATCAATATCAAGTTATTAATTTAATTTTTTTTGAATATATTTATAGATTACAAATTATAAATATAAAAAAATTAAAATATTAATTTAATAATTATAATTAATTATGTATTTTAAATTATGAAGATATATTTTAACACACTCTAATATCATAAATTTAAAATCTCACAACATTAATTGTAATTTATAAATTAGGTAAATATCAAATCAAGTAAATATCATATCAGTTCAATAACAAAGTCGTATCATTTACAGGTTGAATCAATTACATGTCAAGTTTATAACAGGTCGGTAATACCAATTATTTACTAGATTAATATCAGGTTCAGGTTCAGGTTCATATCAGTCGGATACATGTCGGGTTCAATTATTATATTATCGGTTCAATTCGGATTCAAGTTGTTTTCAAATCGGGTGCAGGTCGGGTTCAGATCCATAATTTCTAGGTCCAAGTCGTGTTCAGTTCAACATCAGTTTGAACTCGAATCAATTTCGAATCACCATCACCTCGGGCCACAAACAATTTTGACTCAAGTCGATTTCAGTCAATTGACATATAAATATTTCTTAATGGTCTTGTTCTCTCAAAAACTTCAAGAATAATAGATCTTCCTGATCTTTAAAATTAATTTTATCAACTCTCATTATAATTGTGTGAATCACAATCTTTTATATCGAATTTTAACGAGTATGGCATATGAGAACGTTATAAATAAAATATAAAGATATGAATTATTTGAGTCGATAATTTGTTGACAACTTGTACCTTTTATTTTGTTTTAGTTTGGATGAATCCAATTGATGGAAAACACCAACTTCCACTCCGGACCCTGGGTCCGGCATATGCTTATGCTTATGCCTTGGCCTTAATTCCTGGGTTTGTAGGTTCTTGAGACGTGAATTTTCGCCGGTAAGGTTTCTCAAGAACTTTGGTCGTAAAGTAGCAAAGGGTTTAATGACATTTTTTAGGCCTTCTCCTCCTAAGCTTACCTCTTCTTCTTCTTCTTCAAGAGGATCAAAGCCATTTGTGACTCATGTTGTTGATTCTCATAGAAACGCTGCCGTTGAGGACTGCATCCGATTTATCAACTCTTCTGCTTCTTTGCCTACGTCAAATTCTGTTTCTGGCCCTACATAATTCTATTCTATATCGTCTGGTCGTCAGTGTTAGATATGTGTCAAACACGAATATATAGATATACCCAGGGGCGGACCCAGGGGCAGCCCGGGGAACCCCTCAAATTGTGAGGAATATTGATGTTGTCAGCTTCTACAAGGCGTTTGAAACCGACCCCAAGGATTACTTCTTTGCTGAGTTCCAAGGGTACGAAATGAGTCACTCTCTCTTGGAATATCCTCTCCAATCTGAGGGGTTGAGCATATTTCAGTTAAGTTCTTATAAGAAAAAAAATTTTATGTAACAATATTGTCTATTTAGTGTTAATTTTTTTAATTTTTTAATTAATACAAGTGTCACCCTTAATATTGTGCAACCCCTAAAAAAATTTATAATTTTTTTTGTGCAATCCCTGAATTTTTGTCCTGGGTCCGCCTCTGGTTATACCTCATTGCCATGCTCAAATAGGTCATGATTTTAGGGGTAAGATATAGTTTGATGAAATTATTAAGCATCACTCTAGTAGGTTATGTGTATCTTCTTTTTCTCTTTGAAAAACAATGTATCTTATATCGCACCTTTAGTTTGATGTCTATTTTCTTATTAGTCTGAGATGATTATAAGAGAATATTTATTCGAAAAACTCTTAATTATTTGACAATGAACACTTAAACAATTCAACACTTAAACAATTCCTACAAACAATGTACTCGAATCCAAGATTATGTTCAGGTGCATATTTCATGCCAGGATTACTTTAACGATAACAACTAACAGTGTTATTGATTTGGACTTACTAATAATGTTATACAAATAGAAGTATTAAAGTAAACTAAATTATAATACAGGGACTAAGTATTAAATTTGAACATTATAGAAAGGCTAAACCGCCATTAGACCCTTGTGTTTTCATAGGCTTTCAAATCAGTCCAGCTTCATCCACATTGATTAATCAAGGTGGAGAGCAACAATTATTCTACCTTTAAAATTAATAGATTGTTAAAGTTATTACAAGATCCAAAGAGGACAAAAACCCCAACCATAAATCACGTGACACTGTTTTCCAAACCGGGCGTGTGCATTGGAATTTGTCGGAGAATTGGCTGAGCTTGCTTCAGGGTTCGTCCTTATTGTTTGTCTATCGGCACTCAATTGATTCGAACTCGTATCTAATATGAATTTAAAATAATTTTAATTCAAAATATTTTATATCCTAAATGATTTGAACTATTAAAATTTAATTAAAAACTAGATATTTAAATTCAAAATGATTGAACTTAAAATTAACTTTAGTTGAATTGATTAATTTTAAAAATTTAATTATTTAAATTTAAATTCATTGAATGATAAAAAAATATTATTTTTATTAAAAGATCTACAAATATTTACATCTGTAAAATGCACGCAAAATGTAAGTCTATTACCATACCTTTATTTTCTTCCATTTGATATCACACTCATTATAGTGTTATCGTTGTAATTTTATAACGTAATTTCTATTTTTTTACGTCTGATACAAACATTGGGTTGCTACGAAAAACCCATTTTCTTAAGGCGGGTAAACCGTCTCCAACCACTTCATCTTTCTCGTTTCCTTTGAGAAAAGGGTCAGCTACAATTCCAAGAAAACATTGCTCAAGAATCATTCTTGTATCCGAATGAGAAAATGCGACCAATCAGAGTTGATAATCAATATCAACAAAAAGTTGGTTTAGTAAGACGAGGTATTAAATTCCTTAAATAAGATCAAGAGTTTGAATCTTAACGTTTATGTATGGAATAAATTGAATTAAGAGGTCGCCCTCATATTGAATATCTACAATATCTGATCTGAATTAATCGATTAATAGATCAAATATTGGTCGTTATAAAAAAATGTCGATAACCAATATAACACGTCTCACGAAACAGCTTGCAATTTTTGCATGGCTTTCGTGTAAATTCTCTCGCTTATATGATTCCTATCAACCTTTTTTCATGGCCTTACATTTCCCAACTACTTTTCCTAAACTTTCACTTTAAAAATGACTTCACTTTCATCCATCTCTCGCAAATCATTCAACTTCGATTGTGTCTGCTTCCATTACTGTCTGTAACGTATGGAAACACTTCCATTTATCTTCAGCTTGGTTGCTGCATTCTTTGCTTACGCGCTTTGGTTCCATGTCCTAGCCAAGAGGTTAACCGGTCCGAGAGTATGGCCTCTAGTCGGTAGCCTGCCGGCAATCTTCGTGAACCGGAGGCGGATCCATGATTGGATCGCTAGTAACCTTCGAGCAACCACTGGCTTGGCGACGTATCAAACGTGTACCATTCCTCTTCCTTTCTTGGCTTGGAAACAAGGGTTCTATACTGTCACTTGCCACCCCAAGAACATAGAGCATATTCTCAAGACTCGGTTCGATAACTACCCAAAAGGGCCTCATATGCAAGCTGCATTTCATGATCTTTTGGGGCAAGGGATCTTCAATAGTGATGGAGAGACGTGGCTCATACAAAGGAAAACCGCAGCTCTTGAGTTCACGACCCGGACGCTCAGGCAAGCCATGGCTCGATGGGTGAACCGGACCATCAAGGATCGGCTATGGTGTATTTTGGATAAAGCCTGCAATGAGAAGAAATCAGTGGACTTGCAAGACTTGTTGCTTCGATTAACATTTGACAATATTTGTGGTCTTACCTTTGGTAAGGATCCCGAAACGCTCTCTCCAGAGTTACCTGCGAACCCATTTGCCGTTGCTTTCGATGCCGCCACCGAAGCAACTCTCTATAGGTTCCTTTATCCTGGTTTCCTATGGAGATTGGAGAAAGTTTTGGGGATTGGAGCAGAGAAAACACTGAAGAGTAGCCTAGAAATCGTCGGAAACTACATGAACGATGCATTTGAAGCGAGAAAAAAAGCTCCATCTGATGATCTACTGTCCCGTTTTATGAAGAAGAGAGATAGTGGAGGCAACCTCTTTACAAGTGACACTCTCCAACACATTGCTCTTAACTTCGTCCTCGCTGGTAGGGACACCTCTTCTGTGGCCCTCAGCTGGTTCTTCTGGCTTGTCATGAACCATCCACATATCGAACAAAAGATCATCAATGAAATATCAACGGTTCTCCGCGAGTCACGTGGACAAGATACCAAGAAATGGCTTGAAGAGCCTCTTCTGTTTGATGAAGCAGACAAATTGATATATCTCAAAGCAGCATTAGCTGAAACGCTGCGTCTATACCCCTCAGTTCCAGAGGACTTCAAGCATGTCATCCAAGACGATGTCTTACCAGACGGCACCTTCGTGCCCGCCGGCTCAACTGTGATATATTCAATATATTCAGTTGGAAGAATGATGACAATATGGGGAGAAGATTGTATGGAGTTTAGGCCTGAAAGGTGGATATCAGAAAGTAGTGACAAGTTCGACCCACCGAAGGATAGTTTCAAGTTTGTGGCATTCAATGCAGGGCCACGGATTTGCTTGGGGAAAGACTTGGCTTACCTACAAATGAAGTCCATAGCCTCTGCAGTTCTGCTCCGTTACCGACTTTCATCAGTTCCGGGACACCAGGTGGAGCAGAAGATGTCTCTCACTCTATTCATGAAGAACGGCCTTCATGTTTACATGCAGCCGCGTCCACTTCCATAGTTAATGGGCGTATTTGGGTTATTAGAGTTTATACACTCAGCTGTGTATTTGGACCATTAAATTGTCTTTGTTGGTTTTGATTCCAGTTGCTTAAGGGTATACTTTGTCATTCAAAAGAGTAATATCTATATTATGCTTAAATTCCATATCAGTTGATATGGATTTTCATATGCTTATTTAATTATAACTTCAGTTATAATTATACTCTGCAATGAAAATTTGATTCGCTGTGATTGAATATAACACATTTAGAGAAATTATATGGTGTGGTATGTTTACTATACAAATAAATTCTACCAACACTAAGACCTCTACAAACTTTGCAACTTTGAGAGCTACTTACAGCTTTGGATTTTAAACTTTTTGGCACCATGCTTGGAAATAAGAAAATGGCCAGTACCTCAACTCCAAAAATGGGTGTTTAGACCTCTACTCCTCCACAATTGATTCTTGCTTTTCATCTTTGGTTTTTCATTTAATCAGTTGATCTCTTTTAACTAGTTCGAGCTGCCTCGAGCTAAGAGTCCAAATATCCGGGTGTCAGTCCAGTATTTTCTCACCGGTTGAAAAGAGGTTCCAGACCACAGTTCCAACCAAGTATAGCGCAATCGAAACCTTGAAGACGTCGTCCCATGAACCTGAGAATAGTCAGCTTATGTAAAGATTCAATCAGAAATAATGATGAGTAGCAAAGAAATCACAAGTTTTCATGAACTATGTACAATAGGTAAGTTTTCTACATCTAGTTATCCACTTGAAAGATCAAGCAGTGATTTCTTACCGTGTTGCAGAATGTAGCCAGTTGCTGCTGTTCCAAAGACCCATGCTAGTACCCCAGCAGTATTCGATAAACCAAGCAATACTCCCTGCAAAGAAAATTAAAAAAAGCGATGTCAAGAATCGAACATAAATCACTCCTTTAGCAGTGTTGAGAGTTTAATACAACAGCAAACGTTTGTGGTCAAGGAAGCTTATTTGGATAACAAAACCAATGCCCAGCCATGGGTGTAAGGTTCCTTGTTTATTGAAGTATGCTCTTGGAGAACAACCCTAGGACATCTGTTAGAGTTTGTGACGCGGATTTCGTTTTGATCCGGTCTGAAAAACTTGCGGTGTGACCTGCTCGGTGGAAGAATAAATTGGGAGAAAAATGTTGGTGGATTTCGTATTGAAGAAGACTCTTTGTAACAATAGAGTTTGTGACCCGTTCCGTTTACTCGCTGATTATCTTCACAACATCCACAGTAGAAAAGAATTAAAATTTACGGAATATCGAGGGGCGATATCTCGATGGTTTGAGTAAAGGCCAGACTGAGAAAACGCATCAGTTCCCTATTCAAGAAAGCAAAATGAAAATTAGGTATGCCAGTTGCATATAGTTTATATGAGCAAATGGTTTTACTTCAAATCACAATGGGGGCAGCAAATGGTAGTAGGCATAAAGCTTTGGCGTAAACAAAAGCTAACTGAGAACAAATTCGAGAGAGGAATCGGGTCAAACCCATCATGTAGGTTCATAAAATGAAAACTGCTAATAGAGTAACTAAGCTACCAAAGGTCATGTGGAAATCTGAAGAAACAAACCTGACTGCATGACATACACAAAACAGCCATAGCAGGAGATTTGACATGGCTCAGCTGAGTAAAAAAGAAAGCAGGGCCAAGAAATCCAATTGATTGCATAATCTGTAAACATAACAATAAACTTGATTGAAATTAAAAAAAAAATCATCAGAAGGGTTACTCTTGATGAATGCATATGCGACTCTTTTAAGGAAAGCATATTTAAAGAAAAATACATGATCAAAGAAGAAATAACAATGAAAGTTTCAATGTAAGAATAATTGGAATTTGTTTGAGGAAAACGAAAATTAAGAATACCTTGCGAACAGTCGTCACGGATAAGCCTCTGCTCACAAGTGTATCTGCAATCCATCCTCCAAGGTTCGCAGAAAATGCCATTGTAAGCCAGGGTAGAACACATAAGAGCCCCGACTCTGTGAGATTGAACTTCAAGACCTATGATGCATAACAAAATAATCTCTTAATACCATGGTACGAAGGAGAAAGGTTCTTCGTTAACAATTCTTAGGAGTATCAGAACATTATGCCGTGGGTGCTTTGGTTCAGATTTCAAAAGCAGGGAAACAAAAAAGCATTTGCTTCGTAGATAATGTCGACAATAAGCCACGAATTGTCTAGAAGCTTTGAGGAATAGTCTAGAAATAGCCCAAATTGACAAATGACAGAAACAGAATTCATCAGCTAGATTCTTAGGGTGCTTATTAAGCATTATGAATGCTATGCATGCAGTTATAACAAGAGTGTGTGTTAAATGATGAAATCACTTACTTGATTATAGTATGTAGGCATCCATGTTAAGAGGATAAATGTTCCCCAATTGTGGCAGAAATGAGACACTATAAGGGCCCATACAGGTGGTTTTGACGAGATTAACTTCCAAGGTATTGTTTTAACTGGCTACTTGGAAATACAATTGGAAACAATAAGCTTCTTCTCTTGTGGCTGAAGTTGAGGATCGTCGTTAGGTGAACTATAAGCCTACAGAACAAAGGAGAAATCTACGGCATTTAGGAGATATTTTCAAATAAAATCAAACACTTCTCTTCAACTGAATCCTTAAACAAAAGCAGAACTTGAGGTCATTCTAATTAAGAATCTGAGAAACTTTAGAATCTTTAACCAACCATATCAAAGGTAACATTTACCTTATTGATCCATAAAGCAACCCAAACTGTCCCCAGGGAACCGAAGGAGTAAAACACCGACGGCCATCCGTACTCATGTATCAAGAATGGTGAAAATGCCAGGCCAGTAACAGAGCCAAGATACATTCCACTATACACCAATGCTAATGATCTACTCCTTTCAGCAACAGGAACCCATTTGGACAAAATACTGTTCATGGCAGGCAATAGCAACACCCTGAAAGCGAAACGAAACAAAACCAAACTAAATCAATACCTTGGCCATATACATTGACAAAAAGCTAAGAACTCTTCGATAAAATTTCAAACCAGGTTTATGCCTATAGATTAAAAGTTGATGCATTAAGCAAAAGAAGCAACCTCTCCAATTCCCATGAAAGCGCGAACGACAAGCAGAAATGGCAACTCCAATTTAGCTGCAACAGGAGTAAGAGCAGTAGCAATGGACCACCAAACTACTCCGAATCCTATAACCGACTTGCCACCTACCGTATCTGCCCATATGCCACCAGCAATCTGTCATTAACTACAACATAATTAGCAAGAAAAACGAACAAAGTATTATAAATTAGATTAACAGAAAACCAAGATTTCATCTCAAAGACAAAAACTAACCATTCAAAAGGGTTTACAAAAAAATCATTACCTGAGTGAGGAGATAACCACAGGAAAAAGATGACTGTATTAAACCAACAGTTGCAGGGTTCCAATGAAATTCAGCTGACATGGGAAGTATAGCAATGCTCATATTTACCTGCCAATAAAGAGCTGTTTAAAGTTGATAATGCAAATAATAAGAAAGTTTTAGCTGAATTAAACCACTCCTAATTATTATGCTTGCTATAGTAATTATGAAACTAATGATCATTTTCGGAGCTAATGACTTTTCTCCAAGAATCAAAGCTAAGGAAAAAAAACAGCGTGAAGAAAGGCTTACTCGATCCATAATACACAGCAAGAAGGCTGAAAAACATAAGACAACGATAACCCAACGTTTGGGGAACTGTTCCCACCAAGGAACCGTACTACTGTCCAAATCATCCTCACCCGAAGCGACATCGTTTAGCGCGTCTTTGAACTTAACCGAATCTCTCACGAAGTCGAGTATGTCTCTGACGTCTGCGTATACTTTCCCGCTTCTCCTTCTTCTTCTTCCCTCACTGACTGAAACACGGAAGAGTCGGCAGACATGGGGGGAGTTGGAGGGGACCCGGAACAGGAATCGGGTCCGGTTGATCTTGTTGCGGGTAGAGATAGTATGGGGTAGTGATTTGGGGAAGTTAAGAGGAGAAGATAAGAGCACTGAATGTCATGGCAAATTTTTGAGTTTCACCACCTCACAAAGAGAGGGAGATCTTTTAAGGTTCCATTGGTGAGCGAGGGAATGGAGCGATATTGAAGGGGAATGATAGGAGATTTGACACGTGTTAACACTTTTAACGTTTAAAATTATCACCAACTGAAATTTTACATATTTACTCGCACATAAACCAGAATCGATTAATTTGCAAATTTATTAATGTATATATTTGTATATAATTTTAATTTTAAAACATTATTTATATAATTTAAATTAAGTTTTATCAAAAAAATTATATTAATTATTTTAAATATTTTAATATATATATATATATATATATTATATCGAAATCTTATTAATGTGTGTTGCCATAATTTTGTTATATTTATATAATAATTTAAATTTATTTACTCCACATGTTATGTAATTTAAATATTACCTAAATTAATTCATTTCACTTTAAAATATCATATCTAAAAATATATTGAGTACATTTATATATTAGTGATATTTGTAATATTAGTTTTTTGTATTTATATTATATATATAATTATATTTACTAATATTAAATAGAGAAAATAATCTCAGTGATAAAAAATGTCTTGTAATATACGAATTTAACTAACTTTGTTTGGATTTGCCAAAATGACCAACAAATGCGCAATGCGGTCTCAAATTCGCAACGCGAATTCCAATTTCGCAACGCGAATATGTAATTCACGTTGCAATATTCCAAATTCGCGTCGCGATAGTCAAATTCGCAACGCAAAAGTCAAATGTTTTTACGCGAAACACAATATTAATTTCGCAACACAAATGTAAACAATATTATCGTAAATAATCTCTAACCTAAAACCCTAAAGCACAACTCAATCTCATCTCCATCTCTCACTCTCTACGGCGACATCTGTCCCCATCTCCGACGAAATCCGTCCCCATTTCCGACGAAATCCTTCTATCTCCATCTCTCAGATCAACCCTCACAACTATTCACGGTCAGAAATGGAAAATCAACCACCGAGGGTTAGTTTTTTTAATCTCTTATTTTTATTTTGAAATTTTCGTATTATTATTAAATTAACCATTTCACTGAGATTGCTAAA